TTGTTGTTTCCTGCTTTGAGTTTCCATGTTTGTCCAATCTGTTATCTCCTCCTAGATACTAAGCTACTTGAGAACTGGTTTGAATCTTTAATCTTTGAATCTCCACAATGAGATTAGCCTAGCATTGTACCTCTCCTGTTATGTTATCAGTGGTGCTCCGCACTTCTAGGGGGGAAGACTGGCTGCTTGTTTGGCAGTAAGCCAGAATTGCTCCCTAATGAAAGCTGCCCCTATACTCTCTTTGGTAGTGACGTTAGGAGATACCTTAACTCGTCGGTCCATTAGCCAGCAGAAGTCTGGAGTTTCCATTACAATTGATGACCCAGTCCGAACCGCCCAGGTTCCATCCCCACCCCGGGGCAAGATCAGTAACATTGTTCATATCTCCAATTTGGTAAGTCACTTTCCCAAATTCCTGTCTTAGTGGTTAAGAGTTTTAAATTTTGATCAGGCATGGTGGCATACACCTGTGGTCCCAGCACTTGGGAGGCTGAAACAGGGCTACCTCGAGTTCAAGGCCAGCTTGGCTATACAGCAAGACCCTGTCTCAAAAAAAAGCTGGGGGGTTTAGCTCAGTGGCACAGCACCTGCCTAGCATGCATGAGGTCTCAAGTTCAATTCCCAGTACAAAAAAAAATTTAACCTTTGGAACCGTGCTTCTGAGTTTCACCTACTGTATCTGCAAATTACTGACCTTGAACGGGTTAGCTGTTTCTTCATCTGAAAAATGGGGAGAGAAAACCTAGCCTGGAAGGTCAATGTGAAGAATCCCAGAGGGCTCAGCACACAGACTGTTAGTGCTCTGAGCCCCTTTTCTCACATTGCTGTGCGAAGGTTCCTAACCTGTCTGCCCTCACTCAGACCCAGAAGGTATACTCGGTCTTAAGACTAGATATGGCTGGGCAGGGTGGCATATGTCTATAATTCCAGCACTTGGCACACTGGGGCAGGAGGATGACAGTGACTTTATTGTGTGTGTTTGGGTGGGCTTTTTTTTTTTTTTTTTTTTTGGTGTTTGATACTAGGAATCACACTCAGGCCCTTGCCCTTCCCAGGCAGGTGTGCCACTGAGCTATCTCAACAGCCTGCTGTGAGTTCAAAGCCAGCCTGGACTACATAGCAAGACCCTCTTGCAGAAAAGACTGTATATGTGGGTGTTCTTGCTGCCTTCAAGACCCTAAAAACTCGTTTTTGTTGGCAGGTTCGTCCTTTCACTTTAGGCCAGCTGAAGGAGTTGCTGGGGCGTACAGGAACCTTGGTGGAAGAGGCCTTCTGGATTGACAAAATCAAATCTCACTGCTTCGTAACGGTGAGGGAACAGCCTTGTTCTATAGATTGGGACATACTGGGACGTATGCTTCCTCTTGGACCACTGTGGGCAGGTTTCAGGGTGTTGGCAAAGGCTAGAATAGAAGGCATATCATGACTTTGCGCCTTCTCCCCCTACCAGTACTCAACAGTGGAGGAAGCTGTTGCCACTCGCACAGCTCTTCATGGGGTCAAGTGGCCCCAGTCCAACCCCAAATTCCTTTGTGCTGACTATGCTGAGCAGGATGAGGTAAGGATCCAAAGGAAAAGGGAGGGAGGAACAGGGGAGGCAGTCTTCTGCTTGAGATCCTGGCTAAACCTGAGCCTTAGAATCTGTTTGCTTTTCTCCCTACCCTCTTGCTTCCTTTCTTTTGCTGAATGGGGGGGGGCCTCAAAATACTTTATACCTCTAGTACTTGGACTCCTTCAGTGAGAGGTGTCATCTCCTGACTGCCCTTGTCTCTCCTCTGCCCACAGCTGGATTATCACCGGGGCCTTCTGGTGGACCGCCCCTCTGAAACTAAGGCAGAGGAGCAGGGAGTACCACGGCCCCTGCACCCCCCACCCCCACCCCCAGTCCAGCCACCACCACACCCTCGAACAGAGCAGCGGGAGCAGGAGAGAACAGTGCGGGAGCAGTGGGCAGAGCGGGAACGCGAGATGGAGCGACGGGAGCGAACCCGAGCAGAACGGGAATGGGATCGGGACAAAGTTCGAGAAGGGCCACGTTCCCGGTCTCGGTCCCGTGACCGCCGCCGAAAAGAACGAGCAAAGTCTAAAGAAAAGAAGAGTGAAAAGAAAGGTACTTAGCTGTGGAAGCACACATGTCCCCTTTGGTGGGGCAGGGACCCAAATGAGGTGGGTTAGAGGGTCATGTGCATCAAGTCTGATACACTTTTTCCTCCTCAGAGAAAGCCCAAGAGGAGCCACCTGCCAAGCTGCTGGATGACCTGTTCCGGAAGACTAAGGCTGCTCCCTGCATCTATTGGCTCCCCCTGACTGACAGCCAAGTGAGTACTCAAGCTCAGGCCATCAGCTAGTAAGGAGGCCCAGACATTGGCTTAGATTATCCAAAGGAGACCAAGCATCACAGAAAGAGGGAGGCACTAAGAAATGGGTGATGAGTATGCCATGGAGAAACCACACTCGAGGGTGAATTGATCAGAGATGGAAACTGGGGTTTGTGGATGTCCAGGAAGTTAGCTATGTTAACCAGGTTCCTTGGAACTTTTTTTTTTTTTTTTTGCAGAACCAGGGATTGAACTCAGGCCCTTGTGCTTGCCAGGCAAGCACTTATTCTACTGAGCTAACTCCCGGCCCTGGAACTTTTTAATTAGCTGAGAAAACATGTTTTATAAATCCATATATTTCTTTGTTTTTTACTTGTAGAATTTTGAAGTTTGTGGTAGTTTTCATTTGTTGTTGTATTTCTTTCCCCTAGTATTGAAGGTTGAACCTGAGGCCTGCCAATGGGGAGAGACAAAAGTCCCTGTGGTGCTAGATTGGCCAAGAGTTTATGCCTTTAAAATGTTTCTTAGCAGTAAGCCTTTTTGAGAATTTTAGGCTATTCTGCACAACTAAAGAAAAGCCAAAGAAAAAAGCCATTTGTTTACATCTAGGGAAACATTGGCCTGGGCATGCCTGGGGCCAGTACATGTCACCTGAGAGGTGCCAAGAGGACAGGTGTCATCATGAATCCTGCTTAACAGTAAAGCCTTTGATGATGCTGCGCTGGAGTGCAGGAACCAGACAACATGGGCAAAGCAGTACAGTGCATGCAAGTGGGCCTGTAAATGCCCACTTTCTATTCGTTCTTCCTTGGCTACAGATTGTTCAGAAGGAGGCTGAGCGGGCTGAGCGGGCCAAGGAACGGGAAAAGCGACGAAAGGAGCAAGAAGAAGAAGAACAGAAGGAGCGTGAGAAGGAAGCTGAGCGGGAACGGAACCGACAGCTGGAGCGGGAGAAACGACGAGAGCACAGTAGAGAGAGAGACAGGGAGAGAGAGAGGGACAGGGAGAGAGACAGGGGAGACCGAGACAGGGGGGACAGAGATAGGGATAGGGAAAGGGACCGTGAACGAGGTAGGGAGAGGGATCGAAGAGACACCAAGCGCCACAGCAGAAGCCGGAGTCGGAGCACGCCTGTGCGGGATCGGGGTGGGCGCCGCTAGCTGGAAAACACTAGTACGAGAGCTGCAGGTACCAGCACTGCCCCAGGGGTCAAAGGCCACAGAGGGATAGGTACAGTCACCACCACCCTGACCCAATGGTCTTTCACACCATTTGCCCAGTGCAGAATTATGACTGCCTCTTGTCCCCACACCAAGTGGAGCAGTGACCACCCTTGCCCCACACATCCTCAATCTGTCCCTTGGGCGGTAGCCTCTCCTCCCTCTTGCTTCTCAGTACATCTGTGGGAGGGAAGAGCTCAGTTATGGCGGGAGGTGGCTGGCCAGAGGTGGGGAACAGCCAGGCGCCCCAGTGAGCCTCTCATTTTCCCTCCTTCTCACTGCAGCCCTTGGGAACAGCTGGGGCCAGGACTGGGTCACCTATGAGCTGAATCAGCATCTCCTCCTGAGTCCCAGGGCCCCTGCAGTTCCCACTCTGTCCTGCAGCCTTTGCCTCTTGCCCACTGGTTCCACTTTATATCCACCTTTTCCTTTTGTTCTATTTTTATTTTTATTTTTTTTATTATTAAATGATGTGGTCTATGGAAAAAAATAAAAATCTGACTTAGTTTTAACTATCACGTGGCGTGGCTTTCCTTGGTAAGGGTGTGGGTGAGAAGCCAAACAAGACTGCGGGAAGCAGGCATCACGACACTACCTGGCTACCCAGATCTTGCTGCATCACTGCGTTGGTGCTTACCAGCCCCAAATTGAGCTTACTTGGGTACCCCGGGAAACAGGACGGCCTATTCCTAGCCCAAGAACCCTGTCCCAGCATCTGCTTCAATGGTACGAGCTTGGGAGCCTAGTCACCTGCTCTGGACCTTCCAGGTCCTCCCCACAACTGCCACCAGGGGGCGGCAGCCCATCGCCCGTAGGTTCTGGTAAACCAGTTTCCCCAAAGGTTTCACTCCCCGCCTCCGCCTTCCCGCCGAGGTCGTGCCTCAGTCCCTGACATTCCCTCGGCCCGGCCTGCGGGTTCCCTGAACCCTTACACCACCCCAGCCTTTCTGCCACTGTGCCCTGCACAGGCTCCAAACATGCTCGCCGCAGGCGCACCAGTCCCGAAAGCCGGTCGGGAGTGGGGTGCCTATCCGCAGTGGGCTTCCCCGCCTCCCCGCGCGCTCCCCTCTGCCCCGCCGCTGGCGAGGTACCGGCCGCTTCGCGCTCACGGGCGCGTCCTCCCGCCAGCTCTTCAGAGACGCCTGGCACGGTGGCCTGGACGTCCCCTTGTGCGGGTGCCCTGCCGTGCGCTGCGGACGGGTCGGGTCGGGCCGGGAGCGGCGCTGCATCTGTATGCGCCGGGCAGCCCGGAGCGCCGAGGGGTTGGGCGCCAGGCGCCGCCCCCGCCCCCGCGCGCGGGCTCGGCGGCCGGGGAGGGTCGGAGGCTGGGCTCTCCTCTCCCGCGCGGCGCGGAGCCGCCTCGCTCCTCCGCAGGCGGAGCCTCCTTCCCCCGCCCCCTCCGTCTCGCTCCCTTGTTCTCGCCGGGGCCGCTCAGACCTGCAGCGGAGCCGCGGCGCCCGCTCGCATCCGCTCCGGGCTGCGCCCCGGGGAGCCGGCGACGGGGGCGGGCGGGGGTGCCCCCGCCGTCCTGGGCGCCTCAGCAGTGCCAGGTAAGGGCGCCGGCCCAGAGCTTGGGGTCGGGGACCCCCAGAGGGGAGCAGGGGGCCCGCAGCCTGCGGTGTCTTCTGCGCGGTGCGCTCCGGGGCTGCGAGCCTGCTGCCGGTTCCCTTCTCCCGCGCTCCGCTGCCGTCCCTTCTTCCCTCGCACCTCTCTCCCTTTTCTCCTCAGTTCTTCTTACCCGTCCTTCTCTTTAGCGGCTTGCCTCCGCTGCGCCTTTCCTCTCCCCCGATCCTGTCTCTCACATCGCTTCTCCCTCTTTGCCTTTGCCGTCCTCTCCTCTTTCCTCTTTCCTGTTCTCCCTTCCTTCCCCGTTGCCTCCTTTCCCTCTCCTCTTCCCTTCCCGCTATCCTGTTTCCCACTCCTCTATCGCCTTCCTTCTCTCCTCGTCCCGCCTCCCTCTCGGGTCTCCAGCCTCTTCTCTCCAGCTTCTCCTCCCTCGGGAGCAAACGGACTGTCAGGTGTGTGTCTGCTTCAGGGAGGAGGGGCGAGCGACAGCTACCTGCGGGGTCCCCATCCGAGGAGGGAGGAGAGCGGTAGGAAGGGTCCCCTCAGCTCCCTGCCCGCAGCCCCTCCCTCCCTCCGCTGCTCCTGGCTGCTGCTTCTCCCAGAATGAAGTTCGGAGGCCTGGTGCGACCCCCACTACGCACACATGCTGGCAGCCCCCTGTGCCCCCGCCGGTGCCGAGCCTGGCACCCCTGATTCCTGTCTGCCTTTCAGACACCAGGCTGCTTCCTGGGCTCGCCCCCCTCTTGTCGCCGGCCTGTCTCCTTGCCGTGCCGTCGCCGTCGCTCACCTGGTTTTCTCTGAGTCTCAGCGCAGCCCTCAGCCGGCCGCGGTGTCTCCAGCCCCTGGGTGTGCCCCCCTTCTTCGTTGCCTCGCCTCACTCTGCCCACAACCTTGTCTCTTCTCTTTCCAGCGCTGGCCCCCAGTCTGCCTCATGAGACCAGTCCACCTTCAAGGACTGCAGCTGGCAGTGTGGGCTGGGGGCAGGGTCTGGAGAGGTGAGGTACCCTGAGGGGAGGGACCTTCTCAGGCTCCTCTGTCTGACCCTAGACTCCTGAACTCACCTCCATGGGCCCCAGCCTCTTCATGTTAAGCCCTTTCTCTGGTGACCCCCACTCGGTTCACTTGGCTATATACCATGGTGGGAGGACAGGAGCAAAGGTTGGGGTTCCAAGCCCTCCAGCACCCCCTTTCCTGTCTTCCACCCCAGCTTCTCAGAGTTGGTGGGCCAGAGCTTGATCCATTTGGAGGGCTGGAGGTGAACACAGGGAGAGCCTGCCTGAAGGGAAGGACAAGATTGTCTGCGCTCTGTCTTAGTGGGGTTCTGGGCAGTGGGGTACGCAGTTCCTTGAAGATCTGGTCTTCAGCATCTGATGATGGGGAGAATTGGGGTTGAGGGTCTCCTTGAGCCTAATGAACTACCTGTCCTACAGGTGTGGATCCATGGGGTAGCCCCAGTGCCTCCGTCCTCTGCCCCAGCTGGCTCATGGGCTACCTGGCCCTGTGCAGCCTCAGCACCCAAGGCCAGTGAACAGAGCCCTGGCTGAAGTCCAAATATGTGGGGCCTGGTGAGACTCCTGCTGGCTTGGCTGGGTGGCTGGGGCTGCATGGGGCGTCTGGCAGCCCCAGTCCAGGCCTGGGCAGGATCCCGGGGGCACCCAGGGCCTGCACTGCTGCGGACCAGAAGGAGCTGGGTCTGGAACCAGTTCTTTGTCATTGAGGAATATGCTGGTCCAGAGCCCGTCCTCATTGGCAAGGTAAGGATCAACCTGTCAGTTTCTATGCCCAGCCCTGCAACTTCTTCACTTCTCCAATGACCTTGGTCCCTCAGGACACCACCTAACCCTAGACTCTACCCCCTTTCCCTGAGCATGGAGCTCTCTGCCATTCTTCCCTGACTCCCACAGCTGCACTCGGATGTTGACCGAGGTGAGGGCCGCACCAAGTACCTGCTGACTGGGGAAGGAGCAGGCACTGTATTTGTGATTGACGAGGCTACAGGCAATATCCATGTCACCAAGAGCCTGGACCGGGAAGAAAAGGCACAGTATGTGTTGCTCGCCCAAGCCGTGGATCGAGCCTCTAACAGGCCTTTGGAGCCTCCCTCAGAGTTCATCATCAAAGTACAAGACATCAACGACAACCCACCTGTGTTTCCCCTTGGGCCCTACCATGCCACAGTGCCCGAGATGTCCAACGTGGGTGAGCCCCCCAGCTCTAAATGCCCACTCCCGTCTCCTGGAATTCCTGTACCTCTTCCTGCTTCGCCATCCAGCTCAGCCTCTACCTCCTGTAATTCAGCTTCCCTCACATCTGGGGCTTCTTCATCTGCTTTCTACCCCTTCTCCCCCTACTGCTGCTACTGCTACTGAGGTGCTGGGATCCCCCACAGGGACATCAGTGATCCAGGTGACTGCTCATGATGCTGATGACCCCAGCTATGGGAACAGTGCCAAGCTAGTATACACTGTGCTAGATGGACTGCCATTCTTCTCTGTGGACCCCCAGACTGGTGAGGATGGAGCTGGGAGCCCACTGGGGCGGGCAGGGGAATGGCGCCCCCTGACTCAGCCCTCTGCCTAGGAGTGGTGCGAACTGCCATCCCCAACATGGACCGGGAGACACAAGAGGAGTTCCTGGTGGTGATCCAGGCCAAGGACATGGGCGGCCACATGGGGGGGCTGTCGGGCAGCACTACAGTGACCGTCACCCTCAGCGATGTCAACGACAACCCCCCCAAGTTCCCTCAGAGTAAGGGGGCCGTGTTGCGCTTGAGCAATTGACCCCCGCAGGCTTAGGAGAAGCCATCCCCCACCCCTGGCCCAGCCAGACCCCGGGAGAAGGCAGTGCTGGGCGGGGGAAGATGCCTGAGGGCCTCTCGAAAATGTGTTTCCCCTCCATGCCCTTCCAAGGCCTGTACCAGTTTTCTGTGGTGGAGACAGCGGAGCCTGGCACTGTTGTAGGCCGGCTGCAGGCACAAGACCCAGACCTAGGAGACAACGCTCTCATGGCATACAGCATCCTGGATGGGGAAGGTTCAGAGGCCTTCAGCATCAACACTGACTCCCAGGGTCGAGATGGGCTCCTCACTGTCCGCAAGGTCAGCCTCCTGCCACTTATTGCGTGCAGATGGGGTGGAGGTTAAACTCAGTGGTAGAGCATTAGCCTAGCATGCAGAAGGCCTGGGTTCAACCTCAGCTCGCAAAAAAGTCAATTAACCAAACATTCACCTGCAGATTTACTTCTATCTTCCTCCTGCCCCACCCAATGGGGACACATCTAACTGGTCTAGACCACGCTGGGGACACTCATGCAAGATCTTGAAGTTGAGCCCTTGAGTTAGAATGTGTAATATGTTGCCCACCACAACTCCTGAGACCACAATCACTCCCATGCCACCTCTGCCCTGCCCTGGATGCACAAAGGGAAGAGACCACCTGTGAGCGGGCCTGCCTGGGTTCCTACTAGCCTCACTCGTGGTCTCTGACTGTAGCCCTTAGACTTTGAGACCCGCCGCTCCTACTCCTTCCGTGTGGAAGCCACCAACACACTCATTGACCCAGCCTACTTGCGGCGAGGGCCCTTCAAGGACGTGGCTTCTGTACGAGTGGCTGTGCAGGATGCCCCAGAGCCACCCTTCTTCACCCAAGCTGCCTACCAGCTGGCAGTGCTGGAAAACAAGGCTCCTGGGACCCTGGTGGGCCAGATCTCAGCCATGGACCTGGACTCCCCCGCCAGCCCGATCAGGTAAGAGGGGTGGTGGGCTGGTGAGGGGCTGCACCTCCAGGCAGGATCCCAGGGGTGAGCTAGTCCCACTTCCCTTCCCTTGCTGCAAATCATACCTCCCAGCAGTGGTCTCTCAATGGCGCCTCCCAGCGGCAGTGAAAGCAAATGCAACCTCATTTGATAGGTGGATCTCCCTTGATTATGCCCTTAGTTCTTTACCTGCTAGGTAGCATTTCATTCTTCCAGTACCCCTGTGAGGTAGGTTATCATTGACGGTTGTTTTATTTTATTTTTTTTAACATTTATTTATTTATTTTGTGTGTGTGGCGCCAGCTCAGCCCTCCAGGGGGCGGGGCTGGCTGGCATGTGGTGCTGGGGAATCGAACCGCGGTCCCTGTGCTTTGCCACGCTTGTTCCAAGTAGGTATTTTAGACCACTGAGCCATCTCACCAGCCCTGATGGTTGTTTTAAAGGCCAGCTTCTAGTGTTAAGTAATTTGTCCACAATTAGTAGCAGAGCTGGGGCTAAGCCTGGACATCCTAAGGACAGCCACTCTTCCCCCTCCCCAACACTGTCCTGTCCCTCCTCCCTGAGGGAGGCACTGGTGTTTTTCTCTTTTGAATTGAGTAAAAAGATGTCAAACAGTTGGTCTAAGGTCACATAGCCAGTCTGAGCCAGAGCAGGGCTGAGACACAGGTCATTGGATCCCAGGACGCAGAAGTCCAAAAGACAGGTCGTATTTCTCCCCTTTCACAGCTTTCTGTATCTCTGTCCCACTCCCATGAAACACAGTCCTCTGAGTCTGACAGGACATCCCAGGGAGACTCCTTTACCTTTTAAAAAGACTCCATTATTATGGCTCTAGATGCCTGGGGCTCTGGAGCTTGGACCCTCTGTCCATATGAGCCATGAGGCCCACCAAGATGAAGAGGAGGGATGGAGGGAGGGGGTGACAGCCCACAGTCCAGCCCGATCTTCTCCAGGTACTCCATCCTACCCCACTCGGATCCAGAGCGTTGCTTCTCCATCGAGCCTGAAGACGGCACCATCAGAACAGCAGTGCCCCTGGACCGTGAGGCTCGTGTCTGGCACAACCTCACTGTGCTGGCCACAGAGCTTGGTGAGGAGTTCTGGACTGCAAGGAGGTGGCAGCATGCTCCTGGCAGAAGGACTGTGCCTGGTGTGGGGTGGGGAGGCCATCACACCCTCACCAGCATCCTATTCCTGGGTCCTGAGCCTGGGTCTTCACCACCCAGCAGGCCTCATGTCTCCTAGGCAGGGCTGGCCTGGACCCATTGGGATTACCTGAGCACTGCCCTGAATGCAGGACTTGTATTCACCTAGAAACTAGAAGCGCTGGGCTTTGCCCGGGTACTGGCAGAGCCGCCCCTGTCCATGCTTCAGGCGAGGACTCTTCTCTCAGGGCCAAGCCAAGTCCACTCTCAGCCACCCCCAGTGCAGCCCTGGCAGAAGCCCTGCAGGTCCCTCCAAGGTGGGAAGTAGGGCCAGCTCTCGTGGCATGGCTCTCTTGTGTGCCACCCTGTTGCCAGCAGCCTGGGAGACAAGGAAGCCCTTCTGTGAAGAGCCATTTGTCCCCATGTGTATCCTCTGCTGTCTTTGTACTGAATGTCAAAGCCGTGGTTGTGTACATGTCAATGAAGAGCTGTGTGGATGTATGGATGTGTGGATGTGGGTGTAAAGCCAGGTATGTGTATGATTCCGTGTGTATGAAATACACACACGTATACCGACACATTTGCAAGTATGTATATAAGTGAATGTGTATTTGTTTACAGTTGAGTTTTGTGTAGATTTATGGATATGTGATTGGATGTATACAGTGGCATATACAAGTAGTTGTTTGCATATATTATATTGTATACATTGGCATTTGTAGACAGTAATAACTTATTCTTTATTGTGTGTCTGGGTTTGTTGTTATAAATGCAACTTTGTGCTACCTGGCAGTGCTGTATGTCTACAGTTGTAAAGATGTCTGTATAGATGTGTGTGTGTGTGTGTGTGTGTGTGCGCGCGCGCGCGTGTGTGTGTGTCCCTTTACTGTCTTTTTACCTTCCTGTTAAAGCCTGCCCCTACCCCTCCCTAACACTGGCCACAGCCCTGGGCCTTTGCTGCAGTGAAGGAGTGGCCCCAACCCCTTTTCTGTGTCTAAGTTATCACAGACCCTTGAGCCTCCCCTGCCTGGGCTACAACCTCAGCCCATCCCACCAGGGCCAGCTAGCTCTCCCCCTACCTAGGAAAAAGGCTAAAGGAATTGAGAGGCTCAGCCTAGGAGAGATGACAGGGAGACACACTTTGCATTCTCTTTTGGATGGCAATGGCAGTGAGGATCAAGGTAGGGTCCTTGTGGGGAGACACCTACTCAAGGGGATGGGTGAAGAGGGGTCCTGTGTCTGGCTGTGGTACCCGGGTTCTGCACCATGAAGGTATAGACCATGAAGTTCCTCCTTCCCCAAGGTCAACACTGAATGATACTCATTGTTGTGCTATAGCCTCCCAGATCTCTGATGTGACTCTTTGTGTGTGTGTGTGTGTGTGTGTGTGTGTGTGTGTGTGTGTGTGTGTCCCACTGGTGTTGTGCATGGCTACTGTGCATGAAAATGCATTCTCTGGGCCGGGGATGTGGGGCATATGGTACTGCTTTGGCCATGTATCAAACATCTGCTTCATATATGTTGTGTTTATTTTCAACACTCATATATTGGCTGTGTGGTATATGGTATGTACATGGTATTGTCGGTACTCAACCTGTTTGCACTTACTTGCTTTCATGTACATTGCATGTCCCTGTATATGGGTTCTTATCTTTGGGAATCCTGGCCATGGTGTTCCTGCTGCGTGTGTATTGTATGTTGTACATATCCTGGGTACTACATGAATATCATTTTTACTTGGTGTTATTTCATTCACCTCACCACATGATTTACTGTCTGCATATTACATGCTTATTTCACATGTTGTATGTGCACACACTATGTGCCATGTGTGACATCCATGCCAATGCACCATGTATTTTGTATCAAAACCGTGTTGTGTGTCCTGTGTGGTGTGTACGTGTTGGTGTTCTGGCTTCAGACAGTTCTGCACAGGCCTCCCGTGTCCAAGTGGCCATCCAGACTCTGGATGAAAACGACAACGCTCCTCAGCTAGCTGAGCCCTACGACACCTTTGTGTGTGACTCCGCAGCCCCTGGCCAGGTGAGTAGCTGAGTCAGGTAGGTTGGGATTTCAAGGCCTCTGGCAGCCCATTCTATTCAAGGCCTTTCTTCTTCCCAGTTGATTCAGGTCATCAGGGCCCTGGACAGAGATGAAGTTGGCAACAGTAGCCGAGTCTCCCTTCAAAGTCCTCTAGGCCCTGATGCCAACTTTACTGTCCAAGATAACCGAGGTAAGTGACATCCTGCAGCCATGCCTGTGGCTGTCCCCCTCCTCCTGACCCCTCCACTGCTCCCAGCCCAGCCTGCCTGACCCCTGCCGCACCTGTCAGCCTTGCAGCTAGAAGGTAGGTGTGCGTCTACACTCAAGTGTTGGCTCCTGCAAGCCTTGCCATGGACTGGACCACACCTACCAGGAAGGCATCCCTGAAGCGCCCCAATACCTTTCCTTGCCCACAGATGGCTCCGCCAGCCTGCTGCTGCCCTCCCGCCCTGCTCCGCCCCGCCAGGCCCCGTACCTGGTTCCCATAGAACTGTGGGACTGGGGACAGCCAGCACTGAGCAGCACTGCCACAGTGACTGTCAGCGTGTGCCGCTGCCTACCTGACGGCTCCGTGGCGTCCTGCCGGGCCGAGGCTCAGCTCTCACCCACTGGACTCAGCACTGGTGCCCTCCTTGCCATTGTCACCTGTGTGGGCACCCTGCTTGGTGAGTCTGCCCACAGTAGGACTCAGCGGTGGGATCAGGGTTTGCAGGGGTTGAGGAGAAGAACCAGGCTCCTGGACATAGGGCTTGAGTGACCCCTCGTGCCTGGGTTTTCCCTCCACCTGCTGTGTTCAGGAGAAAAGCTCTGACTCTATGTCCTTGATCTGCCTATCAATACTGATTGGCATAAAAATTATTTATTTGGACCCCAATTCTGTTCAGGGGTGGTGCTGGGCACAGCACTTCTGGCATTTCATTTATCCTTTCAAAAACCCTAAGAGGTAAATGTGGTTTCTCTGATTACTATGTAAACTAAGGGTCAGAAAGGTCCACAGAAGTTAGTCAACTTCCATGGGCAACTGGCAAGTCAAGAGTGGAGTCAGGGCTCAAAGCAAAGCTCTCCAGATGGGGGGCGAGGGGGGCTCCTGTCCCGCCCCACGCTGGCTCAGGCCTCTGCGTCCTCCCAGCCCTGGTGGTGCTCTTCGTGGCCCTGCGGCGGCAGAAGCAGGAAGCACTGATGGTTCTGGAGGAGGAGGATGTGCGCGAGAATATCATCACCTACGACGATGAGGGTGGCGGCGAAGAGGACACCGAGGCCTTCGACATCACCGCCCTACAGAATCCCGATGGGGCGGCTCCACCGGCGCCCGGGCCTCCTGCCCGTCGCGATGTGCTGCCCCGGGCGCGGGCCCCACGCCAGCCACGGCCACCAGGCCCTGCCGACGTGGCTCAGCTGCTGGCACTGCGGCTGCGTGAGGCGGACGAGGACCCCGGGGTGCCCCCCTATGACTCGGTGCAGGTGTATGGCTACGAGGGCCGAGGCTCCTCTTGCGGCTCACTCAGCTCACTAGGTTCCGGCAGTGAGGCGGGCGGCGCCCCCGGCCCCGCAGAGCCACTGGACGACTGGGGCCCGCTCTTCCACACCCTGGCTGAGCTGTACGGGGCCAAGGAGCCCCCAGGCCCCTGAGCCCCGGGCAGCCCTTCCAGGCCCTCTGAGTGAGCCCCAGGGTCCAGGCAGGTGGCAGCAGCCCAGGGGCCGGCCTCACCCCCGCCTGTGACCTTCAGGGCATCCTTGCTGTGACCCCCCCACCACTCCTGAGTCTGTGTGTCTCCCCAGGGATCTCTGTCTGTCTGTGGCACTCTGTCCAGGTCTGGGCTTTGTAGCCCTAACCCTGAACCTCTGCTGTCTCACTGTGACTCCTTTATCTGTGACTGTTTTTGTCTTTGTCTGGGTCTCGCTCTGTCTCCCTTACCCACACACATGCTGTGTCTCTCCAGCCCGCATCTCCCCTTCTTTTCTCTGGGTCCCTGTTTCTGGTTCTTTGGGTTTTTTTGGTTATTGTTGTCCATCCTAAAGCAAGAGAAACTTCCAGCCACTGCTGCCCACTCTCCTGCAGGGAATACTCTGCCCCAGGTCAGTGCCCTGGAGGTGGGCAGGGCGAGGGCAGAGGCTGCTCTCCCTGGGCCTGCTCCTCACCCTGTCCTGTCCTCACAGACCTGCCCGCATGGTTCCATCCATCACTCATGGCCTCATCCTGGCTCTTCGGCCTCCAGCTGGAGGGAGCCGCCTCAGGGCTGCGGGAGCTCCAGCCCCCACTCAGCCACCTCCCTGGAGCTCTGCCCAGCTGTTAGCCTGCCCTGGGCTCCCCAGCTCTGGGCATTGTCTTGTGTGCTTCCCAGGCCCCAGGGGAGGGGGAGAAGAAGACGGAGGCAGCTGGGGAAGGGAAGAGAGGGAGGAAGGGGAGGGGTCTCCATCCTCCATCTCTAATTTCATAATAAACAAACACTTTATTTTGTAAAGCCTGACCACGCTTCTGTTTCTGCAGGAAGACTTCTGAACAGAGCTTCATTTGCATGAGGGATGGGAGGACCGGCTCAGTTATGCCCCCCACACACACACTTCTCCCTTATGCAGGACATTCCTTCTCCTGGGGAGAACCACTTCCAGACCCTTCCTGGCAGAGGGGCTTTGCACCCTCCATGTGGGCAGCGAGGGATGTACCACTCCTACCATGAACTCTCCAAATCCCCTGGCATGCTGGTCTCACATTTCCTGGGAAATGAAGATGTGGGAGTTGCCAAGAGGGAAAGGAAGGCAGAGGAGACCTGGGCAGAGCCACCAAGCCCAGCCGAGAGGAGGGAAGATGCAGATGAGGGTCCAGGCCAAGAAAACAGGCAGCTGGGTGGCAGCAGAGGTGGGCAAGGAACCACAGAGCCCACTTCAGGAAGGGTGGGCCAGTCACTGAGGTGGCGCCCACTGCCCCTCCTTTAATTCTCCCCCAGCCTACAGTCTTGATCTCCATGGAACACCAGGGATGAGGGAGAGGAGAGTGGGGGTAGGACTCCTGAGGGCAAAATCCAGTCACCTGGCGTGGCAACCCAAGGGTAGTGGCCATCTCCCGTGCCTACTCCCACACACAGGGGGCCCTAGAGGCACACAGAGGTAGGGCAGGCAGTCCTTGTAACAGCTCCCTATGTGGGATGCAGCAACTAGGGAACACTGCCTTGATGGGAGTGTCTTCTCACACCTTGCACCTGCCGAGGAGCAGGAGGACAAGGCCCCACACCCAGTGCTGGTTGCCATCAACCCTGGTGAAGCTGGAACACTGCACCACTGACAGCCAAAGGCCTGCATGGGAGCAGGCTGCCCATCACCACAGCCTGAGGAGGCTGGGAGGCAGCATCCCAGCAGGGCCTTGAAGAACAAGGGCTTCCAGTTTAGGGCAAGAAAGGCACCATCTCTGGCCTTCTGCTCTCACCCTGATACCTACATCAACTTTTAGGAATTGCTAGAGCAATGGAGGAAATGACTCACAGTCGCTTAGAGAGGAGCACTTTCAGAATGGAATGTTGGCTCTGCGTGACCAGCCCGGGCCTCCAGAGCCCTCTCCCAACTCAATAAAACTTTCTTTTTTCCCTTTTTTTTTGGTAGAACCAGGGATTGAACTCAGGCCCTTGCGCTTGCCAGGCAAGTGCTTATTCTACTGAACCATCTCCCTGGCCCCTCCTTTTGTCTGTCTGTCTGTCTGCCTTCCTTCCGTCTGTCCTTCCTTCCTTCCTTCCTTCCTTCCTTCCTTCCTTCCTTCCTTTCTATGTATTTGGTACAGGGTCTCACCACACAGCTTGAGCTTGCAGTGATCCTCCTGTTTTCAGCCTCCCCAGCACTGGGATTACAGGTGTGCGCCACTACACCCAGTCTTCACTAAAAACTTTAAAGGATGCTTAGAACCCAGCACTCTGGAGGGTTGCAAGTTTGAGGCCTACATAGCAGGACCTTGTCTAAACCAATAAACAAATCTTACAGGTATTTTCCTTTTAAATTCATACAGACCATAGGAAATCAGTCTTGTCAGCAGGACTCTCAGGCTTGTCTCTGCCCTCAAGCACCGCATTATTTGAAAGGACAGAAACTAGTGAAGGCAGACAGGACTATGGAAAGAGAAGAGTGAGAAGAAGGGGATAGGGGAAGGAGATGCAAGAAGAGGAGGCTTCCTGCTAGTTCTGCCCCTCTAGGTTCAACCTCCTTGTCCACCTTGACTCTGGCCTGCAGGCTGACCTGTGCCACGGGCACCTGTGTCCTTTTGGGCACAAGCTCCCCACCACACTCCACCCTGTCCCACCATTCCTCTCTGAGTCTCCTTGATCTTTCCTTTCTCTTCCCGAGGCTCCTGCTCAGACCATGTCTAGAGGTCTGTGGCCTGGCCACTCCTTCCCAGGGGAACTGTTAGCCTGGACACAGGACTGGCCAGGGAGAGGAAAAGCAGCCATTGTTCTCAAAACTGGGATGAGAGGAAAGAAGTTTCAGAAACCTTCTTTCTGGCTTCATCTTCCAGGCCAAACTTGCACCCGTCCTCTGGCCTGAGGAGCGGGCAGTAGTCCTCCTGGCGCTGTCAGCCAGCCTGTCCACCACACTGGGGCTGAGGGGATGACAGGAGGGGCAGGCAAAGCTGCTGGCACAGCCACTGCTCTCTCCTTCGTTTTCCAGAGGGAGCATCAGGGAGGGCAGTCTGGGAGGAGAAGACAACATCCGGCATGACAATGCCAGGCGCAGAAGGGTAGAGAGCAGGGTAGGCTGCAGGATGGCTCCAGGCCCTGGCAGACACGGCACACAGCACAGTAGGGGTAGCTTCCCGCCAGGGCCTCTGGCTCCTCGGGGTTCAGTCATCCACTAGGCAAGGTCTTGACCTAGCTACTCTCCTTCCATGCATCACTCCTCAGAATCCAGGGAAGCTGGCTCTAAAGCCCAGGCTCTGCAGGGGGCAGTCTGGATCTAGGCCCATGATTGCCACCTACTGTGTAAGCTGGGCAAGTCCCACCACCTTGTAAGTCTGGTTTCTCTTCCATGAACTGAGGAACATTTTCCCTACAAGGGCTGCATTTAGCATCGGAGCAATCATTACAGTCACTACAGTGAAGGCAGGGGTGCAGAGCAGCTGACACAGTCACCACCGAACAGCCTCCCAGCCTGCCCTGGGCTCACACCCGTCACACCCAGGCCGCTCTCCCCATATGATGCTGTGGGTACACAGAAGGGTGTACCTCCCCAAGCTGAGGTGACCAGGAGAAAGAGACGGACTCATGCTGCCATAGATATAGAACCAATATGAGAAGAGAGCCTGGGGAGGGGATGAAGGAAAAGAGGATGGCAAGAACAAGAGCACCTAGCACCTAGTAGGGCATCAGGCACACAGCAAGTGTTGGCCCAAAGCCCACTTGGTGCCAAGAAGGAGAACGGGTAAATATATCGGGCACTGTACACACGTGTTAGACAGAACATCAATAGCTCTCAGAGGCAGAAAGAGTGGGCACTTGGAACAAACAGAGCAACCAACCCCAAAGGACTGGGCCAGGTGCTCAGGGCTGCCCCTCTCTTTCCCTCAGCCTGGGTTTCCGAGTCCCGCCATTTCTCACAGCCTCTTAGCCTCTGCTGGCATCTTGGGGTCTTCTGGTGGTGCCTCCCTTGGGCCCACAGGGAATTCTCTGCCTTCCCCAGCTCCAAGAGGAATGACAGGCTCAGGCTGGGCCTCACTGGGCTCACCCTCGGGGGCTGGTTCCGGAAGCATCTGCAGCTCTGCATATAACACACAGGCGTCACTGCGTGACACATACTCCCATCCGCTCTTTCGCACATGGAAAAGGTCCACCGAGCCCCCTGAGTAGGCATCACGGCGGGTGGCGTGGGCCACAGCACAGCGGGCCAGAGTGTAGGCTTCCTGCGTGGTCATGTCATAGCGGTAGCCACGGTCTAGCACGCCATAGGCATAGGGAGATCCAGAGCCCACAGAAAAGATGTCCCCTTGCAGGCAGGTGCCGTCACTGTACACATAGAAGAGAGCAGGGCCAGAGCGGTCCCAGCCACACAGGGCAGTGGCCACACACAGATCCAGCCCCCGGTAGCGGGACATCATGGTTGACAAGAGCTTGGCTGCGCTGGCCACACTGGGCAACCGGCCCTCCCTCAGAGCCCGAAGCCGCAGCTCTCGCTGCAGCACCCGGTACCATGTAGCACAGTCGGCTGAGGTGCCAGAGGTGGTGCCCAAGAGGTGCTGGTGCACAGGGATGACCTTGAGAGAAGCTGGACAGGCCACATAGCTGCCACAGGAGGAACGTGTGTCGGCTGCAGCAATTACGCCATGACGGAAGCGGAAGGCCAGGGTGGTGGTGCCGTGGGCCAGGCTGGGGCCATGGATCCGCAGGAAGGACTGAGGGTCGCAGCCCGGGGGCACAGCCCAGCCCCCGACTGGAGGCAGATGAGGGGAAGGTGCCTGGATGTCAAGGGCCTGCCACTTGCACACATCCTGCAAAGCCATCCTTGAGGCTGAGTGAACGAAGGAAGGAGCCAGCAAGGGATTTGTGCCTGGGGTCAGGTGGGGGAAGAAGGACGCTGAAGAGAAGCTGGGCAGCTGCCAGAAATAGTGAGTGAAGCGTGTGAGTTGCCGCTTCATCTCTCCCCAGCCCGCCAGGCGTGGGGACTCACTGGCAGCCCGCTTGTCCTTAGAGGGCTACTGAGAGGAAACAAGAGGAGGCCAGAAAAGTCTCCACAGTGGAAAGAACTTCATCTTCTGTAGCCTGCCTGGGATACCAGGGTCGACCACAGAGGCCGCTGCCTATCACTCCACAACCCAGAGCAGGGAGTGGGGTACAGTAACTGTAAAGGAAAGGGGCACAGAGATGGGTCCCTCCTGCTTTTCCTGTGTAGGACATTGGGAACTCAAAGACAAATAAGGCCCTGGCCCTGGCCTGAGAGGGCACCCAGGCTGGGAGAGTAAAGATAACTCAGTGGAAGGAAGGAGAGGAGGGGAAAGAATGAGTCAAGATTAAGACATGCTAGGTGCATGTGCTAACTCCACAAGCAGTGTGACCGTTGTGTAGTGCAAACACATGCAACAACGACAACTGAGGGAAAAAACCAATTCAGTGCTCTGATAGTCTGACAGAATGCTTTGCTGTGGACCCACAGAGGAGGAGAGCTCGATGGTGAGGAGGCGTGAAGCCAGGAATCTCTGGTGCTCACCTCATACTTATAGCGCATGGCCAAGACTGGGCAAAAATAAGATGGACTGAGGCAAACACAGAAGAAAAAAGAACAAGACAGTTTTGTAAAAAGGTTCAAATACCTTCCAGAAAGGGAGGAGGGGTGGGGGAATATGAAGGGAAACCAGTGTCCCTCTCCTCTGCATGGGGTTAAAGGGACTTTTTATCTGCAAATGAAGATGTCATCCCTGAAGGTTCTTATCAGAAACTTCTTTGGCCTCTGCTAAAGTCCTGAGGGTGTGGACCAAGGGTCTACTGGCAGCTCCCTCCTGCTGTCCTTTTCTGCCCAGCAGTTCACAAGGGTGGCAGAGCTGGCCTGTGGTTCCTGACTTTCACCCTGTAGCACTGCGCCCCAGCCCTAGACCAACTAGGAGTGGTGGAACCCGCCAGCTGGCCCTGCAGGAAGATTGGGGCAGAGTAACAAGCTGCAACCACTTTCAGAGTCATACAGCATGGATTATCCTAACATTGCAGATCAAAGTTATGTATGGGGATGAGTTTATTCAAAGAAATACCAAGCACTGGGGGAAGAGCCGGGACCCACCAGATACCACAGTGGTGGGGCTGCAGTTACATGGTTTCCTGGGGTCTCGGTACTAAGGGCAATGCAGACAGAGAATAGGGACAGTGGAGAAGCCAGGAGGATGTGCTGAGATCCAGCTGGCCCTATGCCCTTATGTCGGACCACCTGGAAGTGTACTAGAGCCAGAATAGAACTTCTTTCTAAAGACTAGGGCTAGGCTGGTGAGATGGCTCAGTGGTCTAAAGCACCTACTTAGAGCAAGCTTGGCAAAGCACAGGGACCACAGTTCGATCCCCCAGCACCACATGCCAGCCAGCCCCGCCCCCTGGTGGGCTGAGCTGGCCACACACACACACACACACACACACACAATAAATAAATAAATAAATGTTTTTAAAAAAAAATAAAAAATAAAGACTAGGGCTAGGGATATAGCTCAGAGGCATAGGTGCCTGCCTGGGATGTGCAAGGTCCTAAATTTGATCACCAATATAAATAAATAATATATCATCTGCTGGGCATGGTGGTACATACCTATAATCCCAGCATTTGGGAGGCTGAGGCAGGAGAATTGCCAAAAGTTCAAGGCTAGCCTGAGCTACATAGCAAGATCCTGTCTCAAAAACAAAAACAAAAACAAAAAAAATCTTAGGGCTGGGTAGATAGCTTGGCGGCATAAGTGCCTGCCTGGCAAACACAACATTTTTTTTTTTTTTTCCAGTACTGGGGATTAAACCCAGGACCCTGAGCTTGCCAGGCAAGAGCTTATTCTGCTGTTATTTTCCCAGCCCTCAAACACAACATCTGAAGTTCGATCCCTGATACCAAAAAAAATTCTTCTTCTGGTTCTCCGCAATGCTGGATCAAGGTGAGAAGGTGAACCCCATGCAGGAACTTCGAATTCTCAAATTCTGCCTTAACATTTGCGTCGGAGAGAGTGGAGACAGATTGACACGGGCAGCCACGGTATTGGAGCAGCTCACAGGCCAGACTCCTGTGTTTTCTAAAGCTAGATACACTGTCAGGTCCTTTGGTATCAGGAGAAATGAGAAGATCGCTGTCCACTGTACAGTCCGAGGGGTGAAGGCAGAAGAAATCCTGGAGAAAGGCCTAAAGGTGCGAGACTATGAATTAAGGAAACATAACTTCTCCAATACTGGAAACTTTGGTTTTGGAAACCAGGAACACATCAGTCTGGGCATCAAATATGACCCAAGCATTGGTATCTACAGCCTGGACTTCTGTGTGGTGCTGGGCAGGCCAGGTTTCAGCATCGCAGACAAAAAGCATAGGACAGGCTGCCCTGGTGCCAAACACAGAATCAGCCAAGAGTAGGCCATGAGCTGGCTCCAGCAGAAGTATGATGGGATCATCTTTCCTGGCAAATAAATTCCTGTTTCTGTTCAGAAGGCCAATAAAATGTTTTCAGTGAAATGTGAAAAAAAAAAAAAATTCTTGGGCCAGGGAGATGGCTCAGTGGAATAAGTGCTTCCCTGGCAAGCGCAAGGGCCTGAGTTCAATCCCCGGTTCCACAAAAAAAAAAAAAAAAAAAACTCAGGCTCTTTTTTCCCCCCATATATTTACATATATGTCTTACATCCCCAAAAAAAAAAAAAAAAAAAAAGGTCCAGGATTTTTCCTTCCTGTGTTTTCATGTTGTTTTTACATAGTTTGTAATACCAGCTGAGGGTGTTAACATAATGAAATCAAACTACCAGTGTGGTGATGTAAACCTACAGTCCCATCACTTGGGAGGCTGAGGCAGGTGGATCACCAAGATTTTGAGGCCAGGCTGGACTACACAGTGAGTTCAAGGACAACCTGAACTACATAGCAAGACTCTGTTGAAAGAAAAGAAGAAAGCAAGCAAGCAAGCAAGCAAGCAAGCTGGTCAAGTAGCTCAGCGGATTAAAGCGCTTTCGAGCAGCCGCAGGGGCTGGGGATTTGATCCCTGGCCTGCCATGCTGGCCCTGCAAGGGCATGTGTGAATGGCAAATGTTTTTTTGTTTGGTTTTTGGAAGAACCAGGGATTGAACTCAGACCCTTGCACTTGCCAGGCGAGCTCTTATTCTATTGAGCTATCTCCTTGACCCCAAAAGAGATGGCAATTGAGACTGGGTGTGATGGTGCACACCTATAATCCCAGCTCTTGGGAGGCTGTAAACAGGCAGATCACTATGAGTCCAATCTAGTAGTGAGACCCTAAACACCATATAGGTCCTTTCCCAAAAATAAAAATAAAATGAAATGAAATGAAAGAGAGGGGCCGGGGGGATGGCTCAGTAGAATAAGAGCTTGCCTGGCAAGCCCAAGTGTCTGAGTTCAATCCCCGGTTCTGCCAAGAAAATAAATAAATATTTTTTTTTTAAATTTAAAAAAAAGAAATGAAAGAAAGAAAGAAGAAAGCAGGCAAGCTGGGCATGGTGGCCTGGTGGCACACAACTTTAATGCCAGCATTCAGGAGCCTGAAGCAAGAGGATCACTGGGAGTTAAAGGCCAGCCTGGACTACATAATGAATTACACCAATCTGAACTACATAGGAAGACCCTGTCTGAAAACAAAAACAAAAAGAGAACAGAAAAAGGAGAGGAAAAGAAAGGTCAAGCTGGTGGAACAGAGCAGTTTATTCTGTCGCTTTTCTACAGCTTTCAGCTGCACATCAAATCTGAGACTCATCACTCTACACTTGTTTAACCTGCCTTTAAGGTGCACAGCAATTTCCCTAGCTCTGTGATCATGGATGATTGCAAATTTGCCAATGTAACCATACTTCGGAATCACAGCTAGCTGACTTTGGAGCCCAGCCTGGGACGGACCTGGCATTGGCCTCTCTTTTCAGCATTGCTGGTGTCCTTGAGAACATCAACCAGACGTTTGTGTGTACTATTGTGGTAGCGTGGAAAGGTGGCAAAAAGGTAAGTCTTAGATGCTTTTTAAGTAAAGACAGAGCCCTTGTTCCTAGGCAGGCCATCGTCAAGTCAGGCCTGGCCAGGGAGTGGCCTCTATTTGGCCATCTGCCAGCCTCCCATCCTAAACTCACCCCCTACGTGAGAACCCCCTACGTGAGAACATGTTTTCCTAAGATGGCACTCAAATCTTGTTTCTCCTCTAACAGACCCTGCAGAGCTACAAGATAAAATGTCAGCCATCTCTTTCACATCAGGCTGATTTCTTTGTTGTTGGAGGGGAGTGAGAGTTGGATGTTGTGTTTGTGTCGTGTTGTTTTGTTACAGTATTAGGGATCAAACTCAGGACATTTGCACTGAACTACATCTCCAGCCAGGTTATTTTATTTATTCACTTTCTTATAGACAAGGTCCTGCTAAGGCGCCTTTCTTTTCCTTTCTTCTTTTTCTTCCTTCCTTTTTTTTTTTTTTTTAAACTTTTTTTTTTTTTGGTGGAACCAGGGATTGAACTCAGGCCCTTACGCTTGGGTATGAAGGAAGAAAATCTCTTGGTACATCTGTTTTTTTTTGTTGTTTTTTGGCGGAACCAGGGATTGAACTCAGGCCCTTGTGCTTGCCAGGGAAGCACTTATTCCACTGAGCCATCTCTCTGGCTCCCAGTACATCTGTATGTAGTCTCGAACTTTTCCAGGCTCTAGGACGATATACCCTAAATTATTGAAATGCTGAATTGAAAATCTAGTTGGTGGATTAACTGGGACTTTTGCTTTCCCTTCTTGACTTGCCTTTTAGGCAATTCATTGCAGTTTTCACTAGAAGTTGAAAGAGAATACTAAATTGCAAAAATTGGTTACTGGTAAAGAGTTGTAATGTGCTGAGTAACGCTATAAGCAAAAGTACTTTTATTTTGTTGTGCCTTTTTTTTAAACCATAAACTGGGGTTTAACTAATACCACAGAGAAATGACCTCAGTATAGATAATTCTTTTAACCCGAATTAGGTGTGTAGGGGGAGGCCTCCTTAAACAAAATGGCAATCTCGAGTCTCATTAGCCAAACGCTGAAGCAATGGAGTTGTAACGTGCGCGCAGGACTCCGGGGTGGGCGGGACAATCTACTGCCCGGTCCACAACCGATTTTTCAACCAGTCACGCCCTTCTCAAAGATGGCTGACTTCGCCTCTCTCACTCAATGTGTACGTTTCCAATCACGTCCTATGACCAAAGTCAAGATGGCACCCACAACGCTTTCAGAGTCTAAGGGCAGTGAAGCTATTTCCCCGCCCCCTCCTTGGTGAAAACAATTCCTTGCGTCTGGCTCTGATTGGTGGAGGCGTGGTTGCCAGGAGTTAAAATGGCTGTGTTCCGGGAATAGATTTAGTAGGGAGTGAAGCCGTGACGGCGGGGCGTTGCCCGGCCGATCCTCGCTAGGCGTTCTCGTAGTTATTGCCCTTATTAGACATGGCGCTGGCCAGCGTGTTGGAGAGGCCGCTACCGGTGAACCAGCGCGGGTTTTTCGGACTTGGGGGTCGTGCGGATCTGCTGGACCTGGGTCCTAGCCCTAGCGATGGGCTGAGCCTGGCTGCGCCCGGCTGGGGTGCCCCAGAAGAGCCCCGAATCGAAATGCTCCATGGAACCACCACCCTGGCCTTCAAGGTGCGGATCCCCCTGCCCTCCCGGCGGGTCTCGTCGCCCGCGCCTGCCCGGCCGGAGCCCCGTCCCCGCGTCCCCCAAGCCCGGGCGGACGCTCAGGCCTCCCCGGACCCCAGCGGCTTCGCTGTCTTGTGGTCCCGGGAAGCCTGGGCCCTCGCGCTGCCTTGTCCCGGAGCCCCGGGGGAAGAGGGCAGGTCCGGCCCGCGCGGGGAGGGCTGCCGGCGCCGTCCGCCAAACTTTTGTAAACGCGGCGGCGCCTGCCCAGGGTGCGAAAGTGCGAGGCCCTCGGGAGCGGGCGGGTCGGGCCCTCCATTGAGCCCGCTTCCTTTCCTCGCCCGTGGAACGAATGTGCACGCGCTGGGGGATGGCAGTGAAGCTTAGGGTACATCAGTGCGAGAGGTGGCACATTGTGAAAGGTGTGACATATCAAAGGACAGAGATGTGCTGGGTTTGCTTTGGCGAAAAAAGAAATATAAAGGAGACGTGACGGCCTCACGCGGCTCGTCTTGTGTTCTAATCCTCACAGTTTCGCCACGGAGTCATTGTTGCAGCTGACTCCCGGGCCACCGCGGGTAATTACATCGCCTCCCAGACGGTGAAGAAGGTGATCGAGATCAACCCCTACCTCCTGGGCACCATGGCTGGGGGTGCAGCAGACTGCAGCTTTTGGGAGCGGCTGTTGGCCCGGCAGTGTCGAATCTACGAGCTCCGAAATAAGGAACGCATCTCAGTAGCGGCGGCCTCCAAGCTGCTTGCCAACATGGTCTATCAGTACAAAGGCATGGGGCTGTCCATGGGCACCATGATTTGCGGCTGGGATAAGAGAGGCCCCGGTGAGTTGCGCTACAATCACATGAACCTTGGGCAGACATCACGGACAGGAGGGTTTCAGTGAGGGATTTTGTGCCCTTGCTGAGAAGTGCTGATTAGGCTCTTTTTTCTTTTTTGGAGCCAGATCCCAGTGTGCAGCCCCTTGTCCATCCTCCTGCCTCAGCTTCCAGAGCGCTGGTGTTACACGTACCCCTTCGCCTGCTGATTACGTTCTAGCCTTTCTCTTTGTCTGAGGAAGGCACTAGAGCATGGGAAAGGGCTGGGAGTCAGTGTCATTGGTAACCTGTGTGACTTTAGGCAGGTTGCTATTTTTTTTCTTATCCTGTTTCTTCCTGGCTAAGGGGGTAGATATATATAAAGTAACTTGTCAGATATGTCTGACAATATTTTTCACTTCTGTCCCGTAAAATAATAAGTCTTAAAAAGACCTACAATAAATTATATTTGAGAATTAAATTGGATAATAGATATAAAACTCTAGCCAACATTATCTATTAAAAAAGTAATATTAGGGGCTGGTGAGATGGCTCAGTGGTCTAAAGCACCTACTTAGAACAAGCTTAGCAAAGCAAAGGGACCACGGTTCAATCCCCCAGCACCACATGCCAGCCAGCCCGCCCCCTGGTGGGCTGAGCTGCCCCCCCCACACATAAATAAATAAAAAATTTAAAAAAAAGTAATATTAGTCAATATATAATTTACGTTTTTCTCATGAATATGAGAGTTTAAAAAAAAAAGTTAAGTCAGTTTTAACAATCTTATTTGCCTGGCCATAGTGGCACTCGCTTCTGATCCTAGCTCTTTGGATGCTGAGGCAGGAGGATCACTGCACGTTAGATGCCAATCTGAATTACTGTAGTGAGACCATCTTTAAAAAAAATCCCAGATACCTAGAATAAGCCAGTCATGGTGGCACACACCTGTAATCCGAGCACTTGCGAGTCTGAGGCAGGTTTGCTGCAAGTTGAAGACCAGCCTGGACTACAAAGTGAGTTCAAGGTCAGTCTGAACTACATACTGAGACCCAGTCTAAAAAACACAAGAAACGGCTGGGGAGATAGTTCAGCCTTTTAGTGGCATAAGCACCTGCCTGGCAAGTGCAAGGTCAGAGTTCGATCCCAGTACCACCAAAAAAAAGACAACAAAGCACATAAAATCCTAGGATATTTCAGTATGTGGCAGTAACGCTTCCGTGCTCACTGGCCACATGTGGTTAGCAGCTCCTGAATATATAGTGAAGCTCTAATGTGTAGTCGCCACTCAAAGTGTAAGCCATTTCTTGCCAAGAATGGTTGTGCAAACCCTTAATCCCAGCTACTCAAGTCTTGCCAATTTAAGCAGGAAGAGCAAAAGTTGGAGGCCAGCCTGAGCAATTTACTAAGACCCTGTCTCAAAATAAAAAGGGTTTTGGGATGTAGCTTACTAATGCCTGGGTTCAATCCCCAGTACCACCAAAAAAAAAGTTGTTTTTGTTTGTTTGTTTGTTTTGTTTTTTTAAGGAGATTAAGAGTAGGAAAGATTTTGGGAAGGCTAGGGATACCTCCTGCAAGACATGAGGATCCTGAGTAGGCTACCCAAAAGTTATTTTCTTCCTTTTTTCCTTTAGACAGCCTTTGGTCTAGAAGAAGACTTTTGAGTCATCTGCCTTTTTTTTTTTTTTTTTTGTACCAGCAATCAAACTTGGGACCTTGTACTTGCCAAGCCGGCACATAAGCCACTGAACTACACTCATGGCCCATTTTTTTCTTTCCTCACTTGATATAATCTCCCATACCATCATCTAAAGTCCTGTTCCTCTTTTCTCTAAAAGGAAGTTCCCAGCACCACATGCCACCAGCCCCGCTGTGGGGCGCCCTTGCCTATAATACCAGGGCTGGGGAGGCTGAAAACAGGAGGATCACTATGAGTCCAAGCTCATAGTGAGACCCTGTAACAAATTTTTTTTTAAAAGGAAACCGGGGCCAGAGAGATGGCTCAGTGGAATAAGCACTTCCCTGGCAAGTGCTAGGGTCTGAGTTCAATCCCCAGTTCCGCAAAAAAAAATAAAAAGGAAACTACTTAGCCTATCCCCCCCCACTTTTTTTTTTTGAGAGACAGTGTCTCAAAAGTAACCCCCCTAAAAAGGAGATAGTGTCTTGCAGGATAGTTAATCCTGGATTTGAACTCATGATGTGGCTAAGGATGGCTTAGCTATTGAATCTGGTTCAGGTGGTGGAAACAGCCTGAAACAGTTCAGGACTGCCTAGCATACAAATCTTTGTGTGTGTGTGTGTGTGTGTGTGTGTGTGTGTGTGTGTGTGTGTGTGGGTGGGTGTGTGGCCAGCTTAGCCCACCAGGGGGCGGGGCTGGCTGGCATGTGGTGCTGGGGGATTGAACCGTGGTCCCTTTGCTTTGCTAAGCTTGTTCTAAGTAGGTGCTTTAGACCACTGAGCCATCTCTCCAGCCCCTAGCATACAAATCTTGAAAGCTAAATTATACCTCTTCAAGAAGCCTTCCTGGGTCAGGGAGATGGCTCGGTGGAATAAGCACTTCCCTGGCAAGCTTTAGGGCCTGAGTTCAATCCCCGGTTCCACAAAAGAAAGAAAGCTGAGACTAGCTGAAATAGAAAAAGATTAGTGGTAGGGCTATACACAGCTAGTCCCAGCTACCCACGTGGCTGAGGCAAGAGGAACACAGGTTCAAAACCAGCCTGGGCAACTTAGAAAGACTCAGTGATGAAGAACAATCCTAGCCCTAGCGCTGTGGGTGCTGAAGCAGGAGGATCACAAGTTCCTGCCCAGCTCAGCAGTTTAGCAATGTAGTGAGTGCTTGTCACAAGTTAGAAAGGGGCGGGGGATGTTCATTGTGAAGGCCTTGGCTTCAGTCCCAGTTCCACCTGGTAAACACCTACCCATCCACCCCCACACACCAGTAATATCACTGTAGAATTGGAGAAGACTAGCAGTCGGGACAGATGGGGTTGAGAGAGGAATTTGGGGAGTTGTGGAGAATCACTGAAGGTGTTCAAGGAAAGAAATCTGAATCTGCTGTCTGTGATGGAAGGATCCCAAGGGCAGTTGAGTTTGGTGGAATTTTTTTTATCTGGTGCTCGGGTGTTGAGCCCAGTGCCTGGTACATGTTAGACAAACACTATGCAATGTTTTTGTTGTTGTTGTTTTGTTTGTTTTTAATGTATTTAGCACAGATTGGACTAGTAGTGATCCTGTTTTCAGCCTTCCAGGTGCTGAGATTGCAGGCTTCAGGCGCACAACACCAATGAGTCACCATCTCAGTGCGCCCTGGGGGCAGGGCAGGCACTGCACACCAGGAATTAAACCTGGGTCCCTGTGTCTGCGGAAACAGGTGCTTTAATCCACTGAACTATCTGGCCAGCCATACTATACCTTTTCTTTCTTTTTTTTTTCTTTCTTTTAATTAATTTTATTAAAAAGAGCAATGAGACAATTTCAAAACAAGTTAGTAGGACAGTTAAAATAAGTAATACATTGCATATTGTCTTTGTAGTACTTATTCAGAGTACAAGATACAGACATGATATCTTGTCTAAACATTACTAGTAGAAATCTCATTGAACTAAAAGCTGTATATCCTATTTTGTATACACAGATATAAAATGGTCCTTC